GCTTGAGCAGTTGGAGCTGCCAGTCCAAAGGTTGGACATTATATGCCGCCTGACCCCCAAAGAGGACCAGCTACATGAAGTGAGGGGAGTACGGACCGTAGACCATAGGAGGTACATACGGTGCATTCCCAATCATATGAGGGCCAGAGTGGACGGTATTACCGCCTGTATGGCTTTCATGCAGAGATTGAATATTCCCTGCATATGTAATCTTGAAGCTGTCTGGAAAGCTCGATGTTGAGGCTAACCCAGACAACTGCTGACTCCTTCTGCGGGTAATGATTTCCCGAGCATCAGGAGTTGACTTTTTGTTTCCCTCCGGTTATTTAACCCGGATGGGATTTCTTGTGTTCTTATGGGGTTCGAGAATCTTTGAACAGTCGAGGGTCCCGGCTGCCTTGTCCTTTGGATGCGGAGTCGGCTCCCTGTCCCTGACGAGCTTCTTCCTCCCAGCATGAGTCTTTCTTGTCGACTAACCCTTGCTTGGGCCAACCTTACTCTTGGTGATTAAATCCTTGGTGTTACCCTTGAAACTAGTCATGAATCTCATGAGTTCGTTCCGAATGAATGGGCAGATCCACCTACCGTACGGGTTTCCCCTTCCGGCTGACCAGGGGGTCGGCTTGTACCTACTTGGTTTTCGCCCCGCTCCAGAGTGTCTCTAGGACGGATGCTGTAGGGAATAGTTTCAAGCCTTTAAAATCCCACTAGGTTGAACCCCACTGTGATCATACACTAAAGTACGGTGGCGTCCAAAAGGGAAAAAGATAGAGCAAAAGAGTCGCCAACAAGTTTTTAAGGAACTTGTAAACCGTTCACGAGGTGAAGGTTACACCCCTTAACGATCCAAGAGATCGTCAACTCCATAAGGTTATGAACCAAATAAGGGTTCGGGGATGAAGGTACAAATCCAACCTAAAAGAGATTGAACCTGCCCTAATAATAGGCCTCTACTTTATTCTGATCGTATTCATGTGCGCTTTCTGACTAACATACAATCAATAGGATTAACCCTAAACCTGTTTAATCTATGTTGGTTGAATTTAATGCAAAAATAAACTATTATCGGTGATCACTTGAATTATAATCACAATTAACCCTAACAAGATTATTAATATCTTATTAAGCGTGATTGCAAAAACCAATTCCCTTTAACCTGCAATAAAAGGTGATCAAGCAATAACAATATACAATAATATGCGTATCAAGCAACATAATAAATAATCATCATCAATCATAATCATAAATATTAGAAAGAACATAGGAAGCATCATATTCTTAATCATGCTTAATATTTAAAACACCCTAGACATGATACTAGGAATATCATAACAATAATATACATGTTGTCTACATCATAAAATCAATAAAGTCAATAAAGTACTTACTTGGATGCCTCGTACCTCTTTCTAATAACAAAATACACACGTTAGTAACTTCAAGGAAAATAATAATCAAAACAATTAAATTAAATAATTGAAAGAGAGATTTGGGACCAAACCCTCAGAAATTAAAATCTTTCACGTCTAGGGCGAAGGCAACTTCGAATATGGTTAGGTGTTTCTAGATCTTGTGAATGCGGAATTTTGTATTAAAAAGCAAGAAAGAAAGAATGCTAAAAGATTAATGTTATCGAGAATTGATGAAAGAAAGATGATGAATGAATGAATTGCGAAGAATTAGATGAATGATAATTGGTGAATGATGAAGACTTAAGAATTAGGAGAATTGGTGAATGTTGGTGATTGTTGATCTGTCCCTCAAAACGGAGTTTTTGATACAATATTTATAGAGAAAATCATCCAGAAAAGATAATTTATCAAAACAGAGTCTGACGATCGCAAAAACAACTTGGCGCCAGCCCTGGCTCATTGGCGCCAAGACCAATGGCTAGCGCCAGGCGCCAATGGCTGGCGTCTGGCGCCAATCCTGGTTCCAGGCGCCAAGGCCTGGGGTTGGACGCCAAACCGGCTTTTAACACGTTTTCGAAAATCTGATAATTTTACCGTACTGGAAGCTAAAATAATATAATTTCAGTCGAAAATGCTATTTGATCTAATTAAAACTCTGAAGAATCCTAATTGAATTAAGAATGATAAAACCTTCTAGAATGTTCTACAAGACCAAAACCATTCCTAATTACATTAGGAATGATAAATCATTAGACCCTCCCCTAGATCATTGGGCCGTACTTAAAACTCAAATCGGGCCCAGTTTAGTAAATTGGCCATAACTTCCTCAATACTCATCGGAATTGGGCTTATAATATATCGTTGGAAAGGTCTTTGCAAGCCCCATCTAACTATACCACTATTGGACCCATATTATGGACCAACCAAACTGGACTGGCTGTTTTCTTAAAATAAAGTTTTCAAAAACAGAGAGAAGAGAAAAGAAAAGAAATAAAACTTTCCGCAACACTAGACCTTTCCACACTTTCGTTTCATTCGATTATGATTCGACGTAAAAGGCACTCATCACTGGGTTTGGTTTTGGGGAGACACAAATGGGTGTCTACAGATGCATTTGGTGATCAGGGAGCCATCTTTGGCAATGTAGGTTTCTACTTGAGGATCATCATCCTCTTGGTCAATAAAGACCTCCGGCTGGTCAACCAGACGTTCAGGAGGTGGTACAGACTCTTGAACCATCTTTGACTCTCCCCATAGACGGCGCCAAATGTTTTGGGTGTTTTTGTCCCTCAGGAGAGTTATAGCTCAGAGACTGGTTGCGCGCGGCCTGTACTTGCAAAACAACGGAGACTCCTGGTGGATGGAGCTCCGCCTCCGACAATCAAGTTAGTACTTGAAGAATAACGGGAGAAAGTGCGAAAAAAGAGGTGAAATCTTCTTGGATTCCGAGATCAGGTGATTCTCTGATGTAAGAGAATGTAGGGTATGCTGTAATAAATGTAGATGTCCCTAAACTGGGGGAAATATCCCTATTTATGTGGTCATTCGGAAATGTGCCCTGATTAGGTCATTCTAACCTAATTATTCTAGGCTACGCCGCATTGTGGCTTTCTCGGGATTTAGGCCATTGAAGGCCGCCTTTTGCTCCTAAATTCTAGGATAGACACGTGTCAGAAGGAGATTGGCCCAAGAAGGACTAACCAGGGTATGACACATGTCAGGGCCTGATTGGGTCATGTGGTATGGGTAAAATTACCTAGAACAATTATTATTATTATTATTATTATTATTATTATTATTATTATTATTATTATTATTATTATTAGGAAATTTTTTAAATTACCACCTAAAAATGTAACCATTTTTGAAGTAACCACCCATTAAATTTTTTATTTTAAATTACCACCCCTTAAATTAAATAAATGCTTAGATTACCACCCATTTCAAAAATTCTGTGGATTTTTCGTATGTGGGCCCCACGTAACACTTATTTTAACCCTTTTGACTGATTTTTTTCCACAATTTTTCTCTTTAAAAACACTCTCCTAACTTCAATTCACATTTTTTCTCTTTGAAATTTGGTTGAATTTGGGGATGGAAATGTGAATTAAAGTATAGAGAGCGTTTTTAAAGAGAAAAACCAGGGAAAAAATAAGTCAAAATGGTTTAAATAAGTGTTAGGTGGGGCCTACAGACGGAAAATCCATCGGATTTTTAAATGGGTGGTAATCTGAGCATTTATTTAATTTAAGGGGTGGTAATTTAAAATAAAAAATTAAACGGGTGGTTAGTTCGAAAATGGTTACATTTTTGGGTGGTAATTTAGAAATTAACCTTATTATTATTATTATTGTTATTATTATTATTATTGTTATTATTATTATTATTATTATTATTATTATTGTTATTGTTATTATTATTATTATTATTATTATTATTGTAAAACATATTGGCACATGCACACGTAGAAGTTACCAGTCAACATGCGGTATTACGTTGTAAATGATGATAATGATTGATGATGATGATTAATATAATAGTATCATCTCAATAGAGATCAGGCGGCATTTTGACACTTGACAATTGTTATGGGTAAAAATCTATAGGTGTAAGTCAACGACACTCAAGCATAGTCAATGACGAAGACCCATCCGGACGAGGATGAAATATGGCGACGCTCCCTCAGCATTGACGAAAGACGGGTCAAGTAACAACTCCCTATTTTTTAGGAAGAGATAAGTAAAGAAGACTCAGTCCAAGTTCAGCTGATTCAATCCGTTAGAAATCAAAACAGAAAAGAATATTCCAAGCAACTGGAGTCCGAGAGTCATGGGAACAGCTCTATCTCCTTGCAACGGCTAGGAATTAACCTAGCAATCATCTACATAAAGGGCAAAGCAACGATGAGTGAAGGATAGAGCAAACTAGCAGTATCCATACAAAAATCCTATATTGTAAACCGTTATCTTTGATATTTCGCATAGTGAAAGTTTGGTAGATCCTTATTCTACCTGCGGTTTTTACCTTCATTGGGTTTTCCGCGTCACCAATCCCTTGTGTTATTTAATCGTTCTTATTTCGTTTCACTTTTGATTTTACTTAGTTGATCGTAGCCTAGATTTTGATAGTCAATCACACTTAACAAAAATTAGCATAATCAATTTGGCGCCCACCGTGGGGCTACAACTAGGTAAAGTCTAAAAACCCCTATTTACCCTTCAATATGTCAGCTGACGAAATGACCCAGAGCAACTAAAAGAAGCCTATGAGAAAGTTCAAGCCAACCTTGAAGCAGCCAGGGAATCCAATGAGCGTCTCAGCAAGGAAAAGGAAGCATCAGAATCCGATGTAGTTACTCTCCGTGAACAATTAGAGTTTGCCCAAAGCAATCGTCGTCGTCGGCCAAGGCAATTAGGTCTGATCCCAAGGATGCCGTCGTTGGATGTCATTGATTCTTCGCATGACACCGACACCGAGTCCAGTGACGGAGATATGAATATTGATCCTCCAATTAGGAGCGTCGGGCAAAGAATCATCCGAACTTCAAGGGATGACCAGGACAACCCGCAGCCAGACCAAACATAGATCATGTTCCAGAGGTTGGCCGACCTAGAGAAGCAGAACTCCAAGGTGTTGTCGATGATGAAGAGAATGTCAGGTGTGCTGATCCCCGTTCAAAGAGAAGCTCCAGATGGATTCGCGATGACTCTGTTTTGCGAGTTGGACATGGCCCGGATTCCCAGAAGACTATCGCTCCCGAAGTTCACGTCGCTTTATGATGGAACGACTTTTCCCGAGCAGCATGTCAAGTACTACAAGCAGCGGATGTGGCAAGCTTCAATCCCGTTCGACTGCTGGGAGGCATGCATGTGCAAATCGTTCGGCGCGACGCTAACTGGCCCCGCCCTTAAATGGCTCGGCAAACTCGAACCAGGTAGTATAACTAGTTTTGCTATGTTAGTTAACAAATTCTATTCCCATTTCGAAAGTAGTAGACAATTCGACAAGCAGACAAGCGATCTATATCGGATCGTCCAGGGTCCCAAGGAAACCATCAGGACTTATTGGTCTCGATTCAACAAAGAGAAGGTCTCGATCAAGAACGTCGACAACATAACTGCCATTGAAGCCTTCCTCCGTCGATTGCATACAAACTCGGATCCGTACAAAGATATCGTCAAGTATCTTTGCTCAACATTTGAAGAGGTCAAGACAAGAGCTGTGGCTCAAATGCGCTTCGACGAGGACATCACCAACCGCAGCTCCTACCTAAGTTCCAGAGGCTCGTCCAACCGTAAAGCCCCAAACAGCCAGAGGGGATCATGGCGACACCAGCCCTAAGAGGCATCAGGTAGATCACGCTCTGTTAATGCTGTGCAGGTTGAAGAAATCCTCGACGCCCCGCAGTACCCCAAAATATCGAAGTATGGGTTCGACGTAAATATTGTGGCTGTGGTAAAGGAGTTGGAGCCCTTGGGAAGCAAAGTGCGCTGGCCGATGAAGAGCAACAAGCCAGAGTCAGGGAAGGATATGAGCAAGTGGTGCGAGTTCCATAGCGATCATGGCCACAAGACGGAAGACTGCTACGGCCTGCGAAGAGAAGTCGCCTTCAAGTTAAAGAGAGGCAATCTCAAGCATCTGTTAGGAAAGAAGAAAAGCAGCGACGCGGGTCGTCCTCAACCAGAAACGACGACAGTGGACCTCCAAAGCCACTCGTACCTAAGGTAATAGTTAATGTTATCACTGGTGTTTTCGATATTTGTGGACTAACTTATTCTGCAGCAAAAAGGATCGCAAAGTCGACAGTAGATAATGCAGACGTCCCGGAAGAGATCAGAGATCCCCTGGAAAAGAAGTTAGAGGCAATGTCAATTACCTTCGACGATGAAGACATCAACAACATCAACAAAGAGCATGAGGATTCTTTGGTAATTTCCTTGGTCGTAGGGAATTGTCTTCTTCGAAGGGTACTGGTCGACGGAGGAAGCTCTGCAAATGCCCTGTTTAGAAGAACCAAGGAAGATATGGGGTTAAAAGATGGCGACATCACCAGAAGGTCAACGACTCTGGTCGGTTTCAATGGTAAAAGTATGTCAACTCTCGGAGACATAACCTTACCAACCTATGCAGGAGGCCTAAACTCTCAAATAAAATTCAACATCATTGACTGCCCATCAGCCTATAACGCGATACTAGGTCAACCCTGGATCCACCGACTAAAAGCCCTCCCTTCTACCTACCATCAGTCGATTAAATTTCCCACCATGAGAACCGCATAGCAATTACAGCATGGCCCGACACCAAACAATCCCAATGACCTCGAAATCGATGAGATACCCTTAGACCCTGAAAAGCCAGATCAAACCGTCCGTGTCGGAGCCAACCTAGCACCCAAACTCAAAAACACTTTCCTAGCCTTTCTCCGAGAGAACAAAGATTGTTTTGCCTCGTCTCATGAAGACATGACTGGCATAGACCCAAGCATCATCTCGCATAAGCTAAACGCCGACCCAAATCACAAGCCTGTTAAGCAGAAGCGTCGAAAGTTTGCTCCGGAGTGAAACAAGATCATCAATGGCGAAGTGCAGCAGCTGATCGACACTGGAAAGATAAGGGAAGTCAAGTATCCAGACTGGCTCGCAAATGTTGTCGTCGTCAGCAAAAAGAACGGCAAGTGGAGAGTATGCATCGACTTCACCGATCTCAACAAAGCCTGCCCTAGAGATCCGTTCCCGCTCCCGCACATCGACGCCATGGTAGATACGACATCAGGTCACGAGCTCTTAACATTCATGGACGCCTACTCCGGATATAACTAGACCCTAATGCATCCCGACGATCAGGAGAAGACGGCCTTCATGACTGACAAAGGTATATATTGTTATAAAATTATGCCTTTCGGACTAAAAAATGCAGGTTCGACGTACTAGAGGCTAGTCAACAGGATGTTCAAAGACCAGCTAGGGGACACGATGGAAGTATACATTAACGATATGCTAGTGAAATCTAAAATGTCGGAGGATCACGTCGACCACCTCCGTCAGACCTTTGAGGTATTGCGAAAGTACGGTATGAAACTTAACCCTACTAAATGTTCATTCGGAGTATCCGCTGGAAAAATTTTGGGCTATGTAGTAACACAAAGGGGAATTGAAGCCAGTGCCGACCAAGTCAGGGCTCTAATAAATATTCAATCCCCCCGAAATGTTAAAGAAACCCAGAAATTGACAGGACGAGTGGCAGCATAAATCGCTTTATTTCTCGATCGTCAAATAAATGTCATCTTTTCTATAATGTTTTGAGAAAAAATAAAGGTTTTGAATGGACTGACGATCATGAAAAATCTTTGCAAGATCTAAAGAAATATCTAATGACGCCACCCCTCCTGTCGAAACCCAAAACTAACGAGCCTTTACAGCTTTATATCGTCGTCAGTGCTGTGGCCGTCAGTGTAGTCCTGACAAGAGAAGATGACGAAGCTGGGCAGCTTCCGGTTTATTATGTAAGTAAAACCCTGCTCCTAGCCGAGGTAAGATACACGTCCCTAGAAAAATTAGCTCTTGCTTTAATTACTGTCATGAAGAAGCTAAGGCACTATTTTGAAACCCACCACGTAGTGGTGATGACTAATTATCCACTTCAGTCTATTTTGAGAAAACCAGATTTAACAGGACGACTAGGCAAGTGGATCATTTCGTTAAGAACGATGGACATCGAGTACCAACCCTGAAAAGCAATAAAATCTCAAGCCCTAGCAGATTTTGTGGCTGACTTCAGCCCCGACTTACAGGCCATAGCTGACAAAGAGGTAGAAGAAATCAATAACATCCAGAAAAAGGCAAATGAATCCTGTTCGTCGACGACTTGTCCAATCAACGAGGGGCTGGCCTGGGAATGGTGCTAAAGTCGCCACAAGGGGACATGATAGTAAGGTCTATATCTTGTGATTGTAAAGCAACTAATAATGAAGCAGAATATGAAGCTTTGATTGTAGGAATGATCGTCGCGAAAGGCTTAGGTGCTACAGCCTTGGATGTATACAGTGACTCCCTCCTCATCGTCAGCTAAATGACAGGTGACTTCGCAGCCAAAGATTCAAAAATGACAGCATACCTCGATGTCGCTAAAGAAAAAGCCAAATACTTCGATCCATTCACTATCTCACAAATCCCAAGAGACCAAAATGCCCAAGCTGACGCATTAGCAAACCTAGCCTCCGCCCTCAAAAAGACCACCTTCACAAACATTCCTTTAGTCCACTTGCGGAAACCACCCGTGTCTACCAAAGAAACCCTGCTCGTTGATGACGTCAACGACGACGACGATCGGACAAAACCCATTATAGATTACCTAACCAAAGACATCCTCCCCAACGACACGGCAGAATCCCAAAAACTTAAATACAAAGCCTCTCGATACCACATCATCGACGGAGTCCTGTTCCGCAAATCAGCGTCAGGGTTATCCCAAAGATGCATCCAAAAACATGAACAACAATCCATCCTTAGCCACTTGCACGATGGAATATGTAGTAGTCACGTCGGAGGAAGGAGATTAGCCAAAATCGCAAAAAGATAAGGATATTTCTGGCCAACGCTTCATGAAGACGCAGTGCAATATGTGACCAGATGCGACAGCTGTCAACGGTTCGCCAACACCGTCCATAAACCTTCGGAACCCCTCCACCAGACATTATTTTCGTGGCCCTTCATGAGATGGGGAATGGATATCGTCGGGAAGCTACCTGCAGCACTAGGGCAAAGAGTTTATATGCTAGCACTAACCGATTATTTTTTTAAATGGATTGAAGAAACTTCTTTGAAACAGGTGACGGACAAGGAGGTCATAACATTCATATGGACTAACATTATTTGCAGGTTTGGAATCCCGTCGGTGATCGTCTTTGACAACAGATCACAGTTTATTAGCGACAAACTCGTTCTTTTTTGCAGAAGTTTCGCATAGAGCTAAGGACGTCGACGTTGACGCCGAGGTATCCACAAGCCAATGGACATGCCAAGTCTAGTAACAAAGTTGTCATGGAAGCCATCAAGAAAAGGCTAAAAGAAGCAAAAGGCAAATGGGCCGATGAGCTCCCAGCAGTCCTATGGGCCAACCGGACGACACCGAGAGAAGTGACGGGGTAGACGCCCTTCTCCCTTGTCTATGGATGTGAAGCCGTTCTCCCAGTAGAGGCCGACTTCCCAACGTCAAGATTCGGTCTCATGACGGAGGAAAGAAATCAAGAGGAAATGGAGGACAACCTAGATGTAACAGAAGAATTAAGAGAGACAGCGTTAATCAGAATGGCGGCACAACAAAAAATCGTCGCAAGAAGATTCAACAAAAACGTCAAGGCCAAAACATTCCAATTAGGTGACTGGGTACTCAGGAAAGCGTTCCAGAATACAAAAAATCCAGCCGACGGAAAGCTTGCTCCCCCTGGGGAGGGACCATACGAAATCACCTAAGTCATCGGAAACGGCGCCTATCGACTAACTGACCAGCAAGGTAACCCTGTTCCAAGAAGTTGGAACGCAATTCATTTTAGAAAGTACTACTTTTAGGCAAATCATCGACGAAATGGTAATGTCCTAATAAAATTCCAAGTTTATTTCGTTTATTTAAAGTTTTCATTTACGACTAAGTGTACTGACTTAAGCAAACGACCAACGATACTTTAACCATGTTGGTTTTGCAGAACATCGATCGACAAAGCATGCTATTAAAGGAAAGAAAAGACCTAGCCATGGTCCAACTATAAGAAGCAAACGACAACAAGCGTCAGTTACACTGACATCCTTAAAAAAGGGTGAGGAAAGCTTCCATTCAAACGACAATCGAAGCACGACGAAGCCCAGGGCAAATCGACCTTAGCGTCCAACGCCAAACACCCGATACCTGAACTACGAACTAGCCTTCATTGTTCAGCGTCGATGCTGGGATGCAAGGGGCATTGGCAAACAACGCAATGATAGGCCTAAAAATACAAAGTCTCCGAAGAAGCATACTGTAACTATAAAATATTTTTTGTACTTAAGTATTTTCCCTTGTTTAAAACATTATCTTAAAGTTAATAAAGATTGAAGTTTTTTCTTGAAATTTTTGACATGTTATATTTTCTTTAAAAACAGGTTTTACGTAGCTGCATCTTTTATGGAACTTTACGTTATGTTTTTGCTTCACGACTACAGATCACAAATCAATATCAAGAAAATGACGAAAAACAAAAAAATACTTAGCAAAAGGAAACAAAGCAAACTGTCAAGGAACCACTTGCCCTCAAGTGGAACAAAAGTACAAAAGCATAAGTCATAAAACCAAAAGACAAGTTTTGAAGCAAAAGCAAAGTCATTCAAACGCATACAAAAGCATAAGTTTAAACCATCACAAGCGATGACCTTCAAGCATCGGTTTCGTTGGTAGCGACGTCCCCCGCAACATAAAGTCCATCGACGACTTCCTTGACTATCTCATTAGCACAAGCATTGTCGTCGATACCTTCGACTCGTGGCTCCTTTGCGTCGTCTAAGGGCTGATTCCGGATGAGCGCAGGCTGATCTTCGATAACAGAAGGCTGGACTTCAACAACAGCAACGGGCAAAGGAACAATGGTCGACGGATCGGAATCCACAGTCGACGTAACTGCAACATCCTCCTCCAGTTCGTCAAGAGTCCCGTCGTTGGCCAAAAAGCGATCAATCACCTCCTGGGGGTGCCACTCCGAAGCCTTTCCATCCAAAAACTGCTTCATCAGCTTCGCCTTTACCTTAATGTCTAATTCAGCATAGTCATCCAGCGCGTCGTCCAATTCCTTCTGCGGCGACGCCAACTCTTCTTGCACCTTTGTCAGAGCCTCGTCCTTAGCAGCAATGACCCCGACCTTATCCTCTAATTGCTTATCCTGCTCCTTTAGCTGAATTTGAAACTTTTGACGCTCTTCCTCCATACCCTCTAATTGAGCCTTTAGCTGCTTCTCCAGATCGTCCACCTTCTTCGTCGCTTCATCCAGATCCTTCTTAGTCATTTGAAAAACATTAACCGCGGTCTTGCGCTGAGCTTCACTGTTCTTAGCCGCACTGTCCAACCTCTTCATCTCCTTAGCTAGGCCGATCACTCTCTACCTCAGTACCAAAGAATTTTGCAGGCACTGATCAAACACAATACAAATCATGAACCTGAAATTTAACCCCAACAGACAAAAACTGCACTTAGTAGAAACTTAAGTATAAATGAGCCATAGCCGCTTCAGAAGCTAAGTCCAGCGCAGAGGTACCAGCCAAATGTTCCCTCAAACCCGGAAACAACAGTTGATTCAGGCCAGGAAAAAGAGAACGACGATCGTCCTTCCGAAGATCTAATAAATTCACTGGAAAACGCGCCAGGATGTCAGGAAAAGTGGGTTCGTCATCGACCTTCTGATGTTTGCGCGGAGGATACGGCGATAGAGTAATGGTACCAGACTCGTCGACGGTCCTCTGAATCGTTGGAGTCTGGACAGGCTCCGTTTTCTCCGCCACTTCCGACGGTTGTTTCTCCTGGGGGTTCAAGCCGCGCTTCCTCCTCATCTGCAAATCAGCTTCTTGCTGAGTTAAGCTCAGTCCTCGACGAACGCCCTAAGCTGTCGATTCTGACAAAACATAAGACAAAGTAAACACAAGCAACAATACAACGACAAAGCGACAAAAAATACTCTATGGTAAATAACAACTCACGAGTTGACATTGTTTCTTCAGAATCTTCGATTTGTTTCAATGTGCTCACTGGAGTTCCCTGTCTTTTCCATGTTTGATCACCCGTCGGCTTCTTTTTTCTCACAAACGTTCTTGCTGAAGGGCTAATGGCAAGGAATTCTTTCACCTTCGACGAAGAGGTCTCCGATGCCTCAAGAAACCCCAATTCCAATTCTGCATATATAAAGAAAAGATCAAACCATTTAGCCAAAATTAAACCAGAGGAACAAAACGCCGAAAAATTGCTTACCCTTCATCGGCCATCCCTCCGTCAACCACATTTCGTCAGTACCCAACGATACTCTCTTGACGAAGAAAAACCACTTCTTCCAACCCCTATCATTTACGTTAGTATTCGAAACCAACCGACTCCCTTTTTTGCACAGACTAACGAAACCACTCTCAGCCATCTTAATCTCATACCCTACCGCCATATCCGCCAAAGTAAAGGGATCCTCCTAATCTTTGGTCAATTCCACTATTACCGACAAAATCCTCCAACCAGAGGGCATCAGTTGCCCAGGACTGATGCCCAAAACTTCAGAAAAAGAACGAACCAAAGGCGGGAAAGGAAACTTAATTGCCGTCTCCGCAAAAGGATATCTAAAGAAAACAACGAAATCCTTGAGGCAATCCTCCACCGTTTGGCCAGGCCCCGGAATGTAGGCAAAAGTAGTGTCAGGAAAGCCTGCCATCTTGACGAAGTCACTCGTCATGTTTGGCGCCATCAACGACTTGGACTGAGACTTTGATTTCTTCTGTGAAACAACCGTTCCTCTTTTTTCAACAATGCGAAGAGAAAACATAGTTCTAGTTTTGGGAATTTGCTCGACATTGCGCTTAAATTGACTAATGCAAAGGAAAATTAAGTGAATTACCTGGTAATTAAGACGCCGAGAAGCTCAATAATCACCACCGTACGCCGCCGCTGAATCACCAAAGAATTCCTGCACAAAGAGAGAGAAAGAAGAGAGAGAAAGCAGGAGTGATAACTTGGGAAGTAGGAAGCGTGTAGCAGTAATTAAGAAAGGGATGAAATGACGGTTAGAGTGAGAAAGTTGGAGAAGTGGAGTAAATTCCCTGAAGAACGTGCTTGGTAGATGAAAAGACGGAATCACCCCCATATAATTTGAATATTTCTGCATTTTTTGTTTTTTGTTTTCGCTTTTTATTCTGTTTTTAATTACCAAAAGTGAATATGGCAATCCCCATTTAGCAATTAGGGGCAAATTGTTATGGGTAAAAATCTATAGGTGTAAGTCAACGACAGTCAAGCATAGTCAATGACGAAGACCCATCTTGACGAAGATGAAATATGGCGACGCGCCCTCAGCA